CGTATGGCCACCCTTCTTATAATATCAATTTTCAAAAAGAGAAGAAGAAGAAAAGAAAAAAGAAATTAAATTTCTTTATCATAATGGGTGGTTTGCGCATCAACATGAACTAGCTCAACTTGAGGCAATAATGATCCAAATAAGATTCTGACCCTGAATTCAAAAGTTCGAATCTCTTTCAATATCAATTATCACATATTACTAAGTATTTTTTGTCAGAAACAAAACCCTAGAACTCGAAAATATCATTAATTTGTGTTGTGAAGGGCCACCTGTCTCTCGATAATGTGGAGGCGGGTGAATCACCAAGTCCAACACCCAAGTTACGCCTTCGAGCGGAGGCTGGTGAAGGGCCAAATCCCGCACCTGCCTCTCGAAAATGTGGTGGACAGTGAAAGGGTAAGTCCAACACCCTACCTTCTAAAAATGTGGTGGCGGTATATAAGGAAATAAAATTGCACATTCGAGCTACGAGTTATAACTTTTGGCGTATTATAAGTGTTTGATCTTAACAAGTAGTATCAGAGCCATGTCACCAGTTAAGACGGGCAAGTATATGGTGGAGTGTCCATATTAGTTACTGCAATAACCTTTTAATGAATTTTATGGACAATCTTAACAAGTCATCGATGCACTACTTAAGATAAATTCAAATGAAACATCACTTTCCAGTCATGTACCAAAACAGATGGATTGGTTGTGTGCCTTAGAAACTCATATAAATATATAATTAAGATTCTTTCTTGGTCATTAGCCCATTGTCTATTCATTTGGACAAATGTATAATGCATAGATAAATGGCATTTATTCAAAGATAGATTATAAACAATGTTTTTGCTGTTTGCTTGTTCCAACAACATTGTTGCTCTTGAGATTATAATCAACCTATTACTTTTCCCTGTTGGAGGAACATATTGGGATTCACGAGCATTATTAATTTTTCAATATTATATCACAAATTTAAAATTTTCCACTAAAAATATAATTAAAATATTAGAATTGTAACGGTTCAATCTCTAGGGATTGGATACGCCACTTGAAATAAGGAGATTATGGGTGGTACAATTTCTTTATCACCATGTCAACATTGCAACCAACATATATAAGAATTTCATCTTTTTCTCTTTGCTTTTTCTTTCTTGATTCCCCTTTCCCTTTAGATTGTTCAAGAATAAATATCAAAGGTATTTCATGAATCGAATATCAAGCTTCAGTCGAACATTACAAATTAGGAAAACAATAAATCGATGAATTATATTTAGTATCTTTTTTTATTTTTTATTATAGATTAGATAAATGATCGATAATTCAACACAAAAAAATAATCACATTCTTCCATAAATGTAATCGTTGTGTCATTAAAACATATTGATATAGGTACGATGTTATTCGAATCAAAGTTCTTGAACCATAGAACTTCATCTTTTCCTTTGCTTTTTCTTTCTTGGCTCTTCTTCCCCTTTAGATTGTTCAAGAATAAATATCAAAGATATTTCTAGAATCAAATATCATGCTTAGACAAATGATGAAATAAATAATTGTAATAAGTCTTCTTTCATGGCAAATTATTGTGTAGACCACGGTTCACTTAGTAGTGTGGACCATGAATGCAATATACATTTTTAATATATTAAAGTACATTATTTGTACCAAGTGACGTGTGGTCCACTGGTATCCGAGTCTCAGTGTAAAAAAAAGTACATTATTTATGTACTGTAAATTTACATTATTTGATAATAAAAATTGAAGTAAGAAAAATAATGACGTTCTTTCATACAATTTTAGACATAATAAATTAATCGAACATATTACCATGGATGCTTAGAACTTAGAAGCATGCATTTGCTTGCGTTTCTTGTTTCGGCAAATTATGCTGTGCATCGTATGCACCCTGCATGGTGCATACGGATGCAAAAACGACGTCGTTTTGCATAAAACGCACACCCTACTTAAAAAAAAAAAAAAAAAAAATCAGTTTCGATTTCCAGCAACAACATTATTTTATTCATTTTTAGTTCATTCATTTTGGATTTTTTAGTTATGCAATTCTAGAAGTGTAGTTATGCAATTCTGGATGTGTAGTTATGAAGTTATGAATGTGTAGTTATGCAATTCTGGAATTATAGTTATGCAATTCTGAAAGTATAGTTATGCAATTCTAGAAGTGTAGTTATGTAATTCTGGATGTATAGTTATGCAATTATGGATGTATAGTGTAATTATGAATGTGTAGTTATGCAATTCTGATTTTATTTTTTTAAGTTAGATGCCAAAACGACGTCGTTTTTGCATCCGTATGCACCAAGATGCACAGCATAACACTCCTCTTGTTTCTCTCTGGGCTTTTCCTTGGCCCAAATACAGAGTTATCCGGTTAAATGGGCTTGCAGACAAATGGGTATTTTACTGGGCTGCTTTTATATTTTATATTCCTTTGGAGTATTCTATGGGCAAACTATTTTATGGACTCGGGTCCACTTGCAAAATGGACTCGGATTCAAAAATACACAATTTACCAATTATTATGGACACAGTTCTATATTCATAATTACTGAATTCTATATTAGTAATTATAAAATTCTATGTTCATTGTTTTTGAACTTCATATTCATAATTATTCAACTCTATATTCACAATTACAGAATTCTATGTTCATAATTATAAAACTTTATGTTCATAATTTTTTAACTTCATATTCACAATTATTAAACCAAAATATATACAATTACAGAACTCTATGTTCATAATTATAGAACTCTATGTTCATAATTACAGAACTCTATGTTCATAATTTACCACAATTTACATACTGAATATTCACAATTTAAATTGTGAACATTCAATATGTAAATTGTGTATTTTGGACCTAGGTCCACCTTGCAAAGTGGACCCGAGTCCATAGTATAACTGTTGGTATTCTATGGTCTTTTAGTCTTTTAGTTCTAATTGTGATTGTAGTTGCAAATGCAAGCTGTTTTTATGTTTTATTTTATTTTATTTGTATTTTTTAATATTGCTATAGTTGTTGTTAAAGCCAAGACCTGAAGCGATGCTCTAACCCTGTTATACCGAGAGTTAGTAAAGACATTGACAGCAAGTTTAGTTCACGGAATGAATTTTGAGGTAATAGGAATGCTATTCCATAAGGAATGAAATAAGTAAGGAATAGAATAGGAATTGTATTCTGTTGTTTGGTTCGCGGTAGGAATAGACTTTAGGAATTATATTACAATGTTTGGTTGATTTAAGGAATAGAAATGAAATATGTTTTAAAAGACATAAATACCCTTATAAAAATATGTGATGGTGGCGATGGTGGTGGCCGTGGTGGTGGTAGTGGTGGCGGTAATGGTGATGATGGTGGTGGCGGTGGTGCTAGGGTGGTAGTGGCGGTGGTGACGGTGGCAGTGGTGGGGGCGACGGTGGTGGTGGTGACGGTGACGGTTGTGGCAGTGGTGGTGGGGGCGGCGACGGTTGTGGCGGTTGTGCTGCTAGGTGGTGGTTCTGGTGGCGGTGGTGGTGGTGGCAGCAGCGGTGGCGATGGTGGTGGCGGTGGTGGTGATGGTGATGGCGATGGTGGTGATGGTGGTGGTGGCGGTGGTGGTGCTGGGGTGGTAGTAGTGGTGGTGGCGGTGGCAGTGGTGGGGGCGGCGGTGGTGGTGGGGGCGACGACGGTTGTGGCGGTGGTTCTGGTGGCGGTGGTGGTGGTGGTGGCGGCGGCGGCGATGGTGGTGGCGGTGGTGGTGATAGTGGTGGTGGCGGTGGTGGTGCTGGGGTGGTAGTAGTGGTGGTGGCGGTGGCAGTGGTGGGGGCGGCGGTGGTGGTGGGGGCGGCGACGGTTGTGGCGATGGTGCTGGTGATGGCGGTGGCGGTGATGGTGGTGGTGGCGACGACGGTGGTGAAATAGGATAAATTTATATATAGGATAAAAAAAATTAGGTTATAGAAAGGGGTAAAAAAGAAAATAGATTCTAAAATCTATTCCTGAGCGTTCAGTAATAGGCTAATACCGGGGGGGGGCCCTAGTAATAGCTATTACCTTATTTGAGGTAATAGGCTATTACCAAGAATATTATTCTTGATAATAGTAATGGTTACCAAACAAAGGAATAGGCCTATTACTGGGAATGCTATGCCATTCCCGGCCTATTCCGTGAACCAAACGGGCCATGAGGGTCCAATTGGAAATATACAAATTATTTTTTGGAAAATAATTTTTTGAAAATGATTTATTTTCTGATATTTAGGTGGAATCAGCCAATACTATCAACTAATCAAACTCACTAACTTAATCAGCTAATAACTATCAACCAACAATTATTTGCCAAGAATTCATTTTAATGTATTAAATGTTCATTACTTAAATGCTAAAAATTCATTATTTAGTATACTATCTAAAAACTTTCAATATATTAAAAATAAACAATTTATTCGTGATCCACAATATCATTTGCCAACCTTAACGGATGATGTTCTAGGTTGTAATTACATATGGTAGGCTGCATATTCATGGAGTTCACTATACTTGATTGCCTTCTGAGGTTTTGAGTATTGGGTTAGAGTGAGTCTTTTTTTTTTTTTTTTTTTTTTTTGAAAGCGGGTTAGAGTGAGACTAGCTCATTCAAAAGTTTAATTTTTTTTTTTGTCAGATCACGAGGTGTCCTAAGCAGATCCTAACTGTAGAAGGCACCTTCAAACCTGTATTTATTTATTTATTTTTGTCAGATCACGAAGTGTCCTAAGCAGACCCTAACTATAGAAGGCACCTTCAAACCTGTACTATATCAGACTACTCCCCGTATGCATCGGGCCAACCCAATTAAGGGCAAAGTGATGACCAGATTTGTTTTTCAATATGAGAAGAGTTTGAACTCCCGACCTTTCTTAGGGATAGGAGTGCACAACCACCCACACCAACCAAGCTGATTCAAAAGTTTAATTGTCACTTGTTGCGGACATATTTTAACTGAAAAAAGAAAAAAAGAAAAAAAAGTACATTGTGAATAAAATCCACCTCTTCAAAATCTCTAGCTAAGGGCCTAATTAAGCTTCTAGTTTAGTCGACATTGTAATAAGAATATTACCAACATCCAACGTATAAGAAATTGAAACCTACACAGTTCTTCAATTCTACCTAAAACCAATTCGTCGACGTAAGCTGCACAGCAATTACAAGAACTAGATGCTTATTGTTTTTAAGTTTATAAGTCTTCTATGTCCTCAAGTGAATCAAACTGTGCACTAATCTGGCACAACTCCTCGTCATCAATGGCGGTTGTGCTAAACCATTTTGGTGGAGAATAGCTCGACTCTCCTCTCAGGGATATGCCAGTTTGGGGAATTGGCAGACATGGATCCTTGGAAGCTTCGACGCACTCAGAGCTTTCCTGTTTCTCCTTGTGTCTGTTAAACAGCTCGGTTTTCATCTCCCAGCAAGCTTTTAAATCTTCCTCGTTCCGGGCTTTGTTCATCTTGTCAATCAGGTCACCCAAGGCCGAAGTCCACTCGGCTTGTGGCGACTTGAATGTCTCCGGGTTTTCGGGTTGACTGAGATCACCGGTGACTTCATCGAGTTCCAGCTTCCTAAGCTTCTTTAGCCCCTGATCGACTATGTATTGCATCCTCTTCCTAGTATTCTCGATTCTAACCGGATCTGATCTGAGCTGCAACTTAAACCCGGCTACCATTGCTTCCATACTCACCGCCTCTTCGGTGGCTGGTTTGGGATTTTCTGAGGAAGATCCGTCCTCGGCCTGCCCATCTTGTTCGGAATTCACCCCAAATGCCTCCTCTAACAGAAAAACATTTTGCATGTAGCGATCAAACGCCTCGTTTTCAATTTCAATGTTGTTGTCCCTAAATTCCTTCAACTTTAAAAATCTCCATTCGTTTATAACTTGTGCATCCTGAAAAGAATCCTTGGATTAGGCTAACTATTCTTAACATAAAAGAGAACAATATATATAAACCAGCTTGGTTGGCGTGAGTGGCCGTGCAGTCTCGTCCCTTAAGAGAGGTCGGGAGCTCGAACCCCCTCTCGTATGGAAAAACCAATCTGGCCAGCACTTTGCCCTTAATTGGGCCGGGCCAGTATGAATGGAGATTAGCCTGAGTATGATACGGGCTTAAAGGTCCCTCCTACAGTTAGGACCTGTTCAGGACACCTAATCGCTTGACCAAAGAGAACAATATATACAATTCATTATGATATGATTGATATCTATAAACCTTTCTTGTTAGTGGCTTCCTTCTGAGTGGGGTTTGCAAATTATTAAACTGAGCAAAATTTGTTGAAAGCTGACGAAAAGAAGCAGGTCTGTGTGAGGCCCTGAAATTGAAAGACGTATAGATCATAAGAGACATCTACCAATAGAAAAGTCGGAAAATTTTTTGGCTTCACTCTGCAACAAGGTATAAATTAGGGAAACTAAACAAAATGCACAAATGGAAAACACAACTATAAAAACTGTAAGACCATCTGAAAACATAAGTATGCAATTGGAAGTGTTTCTCCAGAAAAATAGAAGATAGAATGTTTATAAGTCACAAAGTCACCATGAACTGCGAGAAATTTGCAATGTAGCTCTAACAGAATGAATGGTAAAACCCAAAATGAAAGATTTGAAAGCAAAATAATGAAATGTGCTAAAAACATTTTGTCAAGAAATTTTTATGAAATGTGAGCAATTGGCAATGCAGCGCTGACAGAATGGTAAAACCCAAAAAGAAAGATTAGAAAGAAAAATAACGAAATTTGCTAAAGGCATTGCTCTATCAAGAGATTTACGATGTAAAATGATATGCAAAACCAATGAGACTGAATATCATTATAGCCAGATGATAATTGCCATTCTTTTCAGACATTTCAGCATAATCTATAATGGAAATGACTGGAAGAGCAACTCTACATGGTGTTTGAATTTCGAAAATGTCATCTTCATAATAGTGAAAGATAAAATGCACAAATTATCAAATATTCTGAATGAAGAGTTTGAAGAAGACATTGGGACACAAAATATATCATGCATAGTTTCACACTACAACTTACCCGGGGTGAGATGCCTCAGTGGATTGTTGGTCTACTATAGGAGAGCCTGAAGACAGTGCCTTATCTAGAAGATTTGATTGACCTTTAAGAACTGCAATGATTGCAATCAAAGACATAATTGTCAGAGACAAGAAGTCAAGAACAGGTGGAACAGTTAGAAATTTTTAGACAGCATCATAGCCCTCGACTTCAAAAAGACAAGGAATTTCCGAAGTTTAACCAGTCAGAGCACTAGTTTGATTAGGGTCACATCATATTGTTCTAGAGGTTTACAAGTTACAACCAAGAATGCACCGCACACACACATAAATACATGCAAATAAATATTTAAAAAAAAAAAAAAAAAAAAAAAAAAAAAAAAAAAAAAAAAAAAAACATAGTTGCAATTGAGAATGCCAAAGCCACACAACTCAGCAAATAAATATCACGAGCAAGAAGCCCTTAAAACAAAAAATTATTATTTGCAAAGATACTTGAAAATCCCTGATTATATCAATTCATCTATATATCCCCTTGTCCCTTTCTCCCACTCAGCCACTAATACAATGAGAAATTACTTTCAAGAAATGGAATCTTTCTGTAAAATGCTTGCCATTCAAGAACATTCTTAATCCATTGGCACTGTCACGGTTCTTGGCTCTTCAGCCTTGAACTCGCAGACAAGGATGTCTTCTTTGGCACCAAATTCCTTTGATTCCTCTAGCGTATCTCTAACCTCTCCTCCCTCTCTCTAATAAATTTCATTATGTTCAGATATTTACAAGATCCATATGCCAAACTTACTGATTGAAAAAGGTACCAAAACTGGGTTCACTAGTTCAGCAAGTTATACACTATTCTTTTATTATACAATTTTGATCTTTTTCAAGTACTCAACACAAGGAAAGAATTTTCAATCCAATTGGCTTGAAACATTTGCTGTTTCTTTTTCAGGTTGCTTATCTTTTTCTTGTTTGAGGGAGTAGGGAGGATATTAAAACCTGATATGGCTCTATGTTATTAATGCGAGTCTTCAAATTCATCGACTGTCGCCTGTTGGTGTTTTTATTTTTTTTTTAATAAGGGCATTCATTCCTAATCTCTAGAGCTAAAATCATAGGATAATACTATTATTCAACTTTGAGGTTCTGTATGCATACTCTGTAGTATTACTATCCTATAACTCTACGAACAAAGTTGAGAGTTTCTGATTCATAAATATTCCAGTGTGAAGATTTACATTACTAATGACAACCATATTGTGCACACTTAAAGTGAGAAATTTTCAAATGGTACCACAACAAAATATTATTAACCAAAGTTAAGGACAGTAAAGTATTGCGAACCATGTATGTGACAGGGATTCTGAGCTTTTGCACAGCAGCTTTTGCATGACTGGTATGGGCACCTGCACATTTAAATTTGGTCAATCAAAAAGATGGAAGGAAAATCATAGTTACCTTTCAATGGTCATGGAGAACTCATAAAAGTGACAAGTTGATTCAATAAGACTCGCACAGTTGCAAGCTAAAAAAATGTCATTTTTCATACATATAATCAGACTCTTCTGACAAAATTTATTCACTGTTTCTGCTTCAAGAAAACAGTAAATGAGAAGATTACAAATTCATAACTCTTATTGATTGTACTATTTAGCTGCTGAACAATACAACTAACGCTGTGTCTTTCAGATTAATAACCACCACCTCAGCTTAAAACTATTTCTGAAACAAAGAGGAAAAAAAAATTTCTCCATTAATTATGAATCTCAAATAGGAAGTCTATAGATCTGCACCCCCGTTACCACAATAATGTTCTGATTAAAAGATAAAATTAACAAAATTTTTATAACAGAAACAACAGCACCAGAAGAGGGAGCCAGTAATCTGCTAGATTGCTATGAATGAAAAGGAAGGGTAAAAGGAAGACATCATCAAGGATGAAGATCCTAGGTCAACCATAGGTATTTCAACACATACATAAAAACATTGAAAAAACGCATCACCTTTCTTCGTTAGTAACTATATTCTCCATTTCTTCCATGCCGTAGATGGGTGCTATGTAAGGAAAAAGTGCTCGGCAAATTTATGACAACTAAAGATAACTATGAACCTTAAAATACTTAACAAAATAATATTAATCTTTGTCATCTAATCTAAAAACAATATGAACCGAAACCACTTAATGAACTGCTAAATCGGTGAAACAAGAGATAATTGCGAAACTATATGCACATGCGCACACATGCACAGCCATTGGGTGCGTCATCCAATGTGAACACTTTAAAAGGAAACTCTAGGGATCCAATGTGAACAGCTGAAAAGGAAACTCTAGGGGGCGTTTGTTTCGAACATAGGGATCGAAATTAGAACTGGAATCAAATACTTAATAATTGGAATGGGTTTTAAGAAAAGTATTGTGTATGTTTGACTAACCTAGAATCGGAATTACTATTGAAATTATTGTTTGGATTAAATATCCATGTAATTGAAATCGAATCTTGAAAGTTAGATTTAAAAAAAAAAAAAAAAAAAAAAAAAAGTACTACTGTAAACAAATACTCAAATGTTAATAAACGAATTCACTTGATATCAGCATGTACTTTTGGTATTTATGTTGAGGAAAATAAATGCAAATATAATAAAGGTTTTAAAAAAAAAAAAAAAAAAACAAAACAAAACACAAAAAACATAGCGTAAATGTGACGGGCAAATGGTCAAAATCTCTATTCCCTAGATCCCCATTCTATTACAGAGCACTACTCTATCTTATTCTTTTCTGCAAAAAGTTCGTGAACAAAGGTAGCAGTGTAGTTCAAGTACATAGTGACTTCTGCACCGGTGCCAAGGTGGTGACGGTGAAATGACGGCAGTAAATGGCAACAACTTCTCTACAGTGACGACTTTCTCCTCCAATGAGGTAGTATACTAATATGCAGTTTCAATCTTTTCTGTTTGACAAGAAACAACATGAAGGAGGTACGAAGAGGAGAAGAAATGGCGAAGACGAAAATGGGGTAAAAAGGAAATGAAACCAAGAAGAAGCTCATTAATCAAAACTTTCATTCCTTAGGTATTTCATTCTCATTCTCTAACACAGAAAATAGAAAATCTTTGATTCCGATTGACATCCTTAAGTAGTGAACCAACAACTCCCTAGTTTCTTTTAATTTGTAACGATTCTCTTTTAAGAATTTCATATTGATCTTAAGCTCATCATTCTGAATAAGAAGCATTTTTAGGATTGTTTGGTACATGGGGTAAGGGTAGGGGTATATGTAAAGCTCCACATAACCAAGGTTTGTGTTGGGCTAAGGCTTGGAGGGCCAAGTCTAACACCTTGATACACAATGTGGATTCGAAACATGGCATTGGCTACTATACAAGAATAAAGAAATATAATTGTGCATTTGCTACTAGTTATAGCTTTTGGCTTAGTAGTGTAGACGTGTAGTTGATGACTAGCAAATTCTAGGAAGGATTGTTGGGCGAAGGCCTAGAAGACCAAATATAGAATCCTGTCACTTGGTGTGAATTCGAAATATGACGCTAATTGTTAAGCAAATATAAGGAAATATAATTACATATTCGCAACTAACTATAACTTCTGGCATAGTGGTAAGCACTTGATCTTGACAATTTGGTCAGTTGGTCTAAAGATTGTTAGTTTAGAATTGTAAAAATTGACCTTATGCATGGCTAAGGGGGCTGCAAGCCACTAGATTGGGAGAAATTGAATCTTTTGCCTACCTACCCAACCCCTTAAAACCTGTTCCCATCCAACAAGACAACACCCCAAGCTGCCCATTTCCTTGTGAGACTATGATACTAGTAAATTCTTCAAGTTTAATTAATCTTGTCCCTAATGGAACTAGATTTCCCACTTATAGGCAAGTCCAAAAACTAGCTCAAAGTATAAGGATGAAATAGCAACAATGCATAAAATGAGAGAGTATTATTGCTCAAGGAATATTGTGTGTACACTATAGAGATAAGGCCCCTATTTATCGGAGGGATCATCGCCTACTACCTCTCATAATTACATAATGACTGGGTTCCTATAATATAGATGATGGACTCGCACATAAACAAGGACTAGGATATATCCCAACTCTATCTTTGCTTGGCCTAATCTTTCTCGCTCTCAAACAACCTCCACCACCTCCTTCGCCACTACGTTGGGTAGACTTCCTTGTCATTAGGCCTAACTACCCCTCCACCACTCAAGCCCATTAACACTCCTGGCCCAACTACATACCAAGCCCAAAGGTAGGAAACCTAAGCTCATTAGTCCCTAGTCTCTCAAACTAAATATGGATTGTTAATCACATACTAAACCCCAAACAGAAGAAATATTAGTCATGTACCCTCCTTAACCCCCTTATATCCCATGTTCACAATTCTCTTTCATCGAGGATTCAAAGTGACCTTTAGACATATCCAAAGAAATCTCCACCATTTCTCAAGAGCCATTATTCTTATAGGGAAATGCCTTTCATGAGATTACTTGTATTAATCCTCTAATTGACCAATAATATTTCATCTTCATGTGTCACAAACTAAATGTCTAAGCTTTCACATTAGAGCTTTTGAGCACTGTCTATGTGAAAAAAGGGAGAAACTGGTAAAAAAACAAAGAGCTATACTAGAACTTCAAGATTGTAGGGAGTTTTATCAAACCAAGGAGCATAAGTATAGGATCAAACCCCCCCCCCCCCCCCCACCCACCCCGAAACACCTTCTCTTACTGTAGTCAAAGGGTGTGAATAAGGACAGCAAACTTGGCCAACCACATGAATCTTAACTACTGCTGCCTCGTCGAAGATAACAATTTTTAGAATTGAATTGCATGAATCATTGGTCTTTTTGAAATCTTGAAGCAAGCAAGAGACATTTTCACTGAATTAAAAGATATTCACTGGTAATCCAATGTTAAGCATCTACCTTTTATTTTTATGCATTAAGGAGACCTCCAAATTGACAAAATTTTTAAGATAGAAATAATGTTTTTTTTTTCATATAGAGTTTGCCAAGAGACACCCAAATCCAAAACCACATTTATAACCCTACATGTAAACCAAACAGTTATTTATGAACCAAAAAATCGAGATAGGTCTGAAGATTCAAAGCTATCCAACTCAGCAATTCTTAATGTTGAATTTAGTGACCCAAATTATCATTCTTTGTACCAAATCTTTTTGTCATCCGAGTCTATTTGAATATCCTATTTGAAAATGCTGAATCCCAGTGACAACTCACTGTAGCAAATAAAGAGATATGGCAAACTTGGAAATTCTAATGAAGATTCTCTGAAATTCCTTAATAAAAGATATAATCTTTATCCATTTTTCTTTTTTCCATTTTGTGATCAAGAACACAGCAGAGCATATAACAGTAAGGTTCAAAACAAAAATTAACACTTGCATTAGGAAAATCGCAATCACATTGTCACTGTTACTCGTGTATGTGTCCCAGGATACACTTTGCAAATACACTGGCACTCAAACACACACTCAAAAACAAACAGAGAGATAAATAGATACGGAGTATAAAAAAGCTCAACCCTAGGGTTCTAAGCTCCTGTATCGACACACACACACACACACACACACACACACACACACAAAAAGTAAAAAATTTAAATTTAAATTTAAATTTAAAAATTACAAAGCAATTAACACCGAAGAACTTTTTTACAAATTGCAGTACAACTATAACAACCGAATATAATTCGAGATTTTACCTAGATCGAGCGACGTTGCCACACTTGATGCACTTAGGTTTGTTAAGCCCTCGTAGATTCTTCGAGGCGTTGGTGGTCGGAGGAGGGGTGGAGACGGCGGCGGGGGAATCCGCGTTGGGGTTGCTTAAGGCAGGCGACGATGCTGCGGCCATAACAGAAACGGAGAATTAAGCTGCCAACTTCTCCTTTTTGCTTTTCATTCGACGGGTTATCGGTTTATGCGGTGGAAATTCCGGTAGGCGGTGGCGCTTGGCTTTGTTTCCGGTGACGACGGGCTCGACCGCTCGAGCTCGCTGTAAGGCTGAGTTTTTTCCTTTCTCATGTGATGTGATAATTTATACTCAAAATTTTAGGACGTTTCTACCCAGAAACTTAGACGGAAGATGTTTACTAATTGAGGGTGGAATAGTAAATTTATGTCTTTTTGCTATTTAGGCCATCTCCGACCTAAAACACTCAATTCTACACCAAAAAAGTATATTCCTAGTATATTATTACATCAAATTTTTTTCATCTACATCCCATTTACACAAAATTTTATTCATTCACTAAAATAATTTGTATTCTCATAAATTAAAACTTTATATTAATACCTTAATTATTTTAATATACAATATAATTGTAATGAAAATAATACGGAGTAGTTTTGAACTTTTGATGTACTCATTTTAATTTTGTTAAAATTATGTTATATCTAGTTTAATTTTTAAATAATCTTATATTCAATATTAGTCTTCTTTTAATCGTGTTCATGAGATCTTTTAAATGATATGATTTATTTTTAATAATATATAATTTATGTTTAAGTATTTAACAAAATATATGACGGATATCAGCGATGCACTATGCTTACTTCCCAGTAGGTCATTCATCATGTGGCAGTTGGACACGGAGTTCTTTGGCTATTTGGTTGCCATATGTGGACAATAACCATTTAACCACATCTATCCATGGTAAGCTACAACGCCAGGTCTCGAATCGAGCAAGGGTTGAACTCGGTCAACCCAGTCGACGCCCAACAATCCCTCTCCCATTACCCATCGCAAGCTTTGATCACAAAGTCCAGCAGCATGCCTGACTCGGTCCTTAGCTTCCACACCCAATCCCCCACTAATCCCCCTCCTGGGACTAGACTCTGCTTTCAATTCATATCGCCATCAATTCAAACTCGTGACATTGACTATGATAGCAATTGATAAATCTCAGCGTTACACTATGCTTACTTCCTAGTAGGTCACATATCATGTGACTATTGTAAGTCAAGCACGCTTAACCATGGAGTTTTTTTGGCTATTTGTTTGTCATATCTTACTTAAAACCAATTGGTGATAAGTAGATGGCTATTAACCATTTAACCACATCACAGCATGGTAAGCCACAGCGCCACATCTCGAATCGAACAGGGGATTAACTCGGCCGACGCCCAACAATATACAAATACATAAAAACAAAATAAGAATACAAAAGGAATTACCAACTAAAAACAGGGGCGAAATGAACAAAAAAAAAAAAAATTAACATCAAGACATGCACGGCTGTGACCTATACATGCATATGCTAAAATTAGTCTTCCTACAAAATAAGCAAACATTCCTTCCACAATATGCTTTCCAGACCTGTTTCTTCTCTTATAATATGGATGCAAACAAATAACTATTTTTAATCATTAATATTAACGCACATGCCAAGAATTCAAAAAACAAAATTCCACGATAAACAAACCCTAACGACTGAATAATGCACCACAACTACAATAACGATGTACTGACATTGTAACACCGATACACAAATACTACATCTATAAGTTGCAGCCACCACCATGACACACAACCACTCCCACACCACCTCACAACTAAGTAATGCATCACTAGTTCCATAGAAATGCACACTTTAACTACTAACAATGCACAACTTTTACTATGGGACAAGGTGTACATAATTTTGTAAGTTCTCACCTTAAACCCCTAAACCCTAAACGCTAAACACTAACCCCTAAAGCCCACCAAATTGACAACGTAGTGGACAGTTGATGCACATCCCAAAGTCCTATGATGCACTACACTAAGCACACCAATACACATTCCCACATTTTATGATGCACCACCCCAGACAAATATCCCTCAGTGACACCCTCCAACCAATGCACAAGCCACAGTCCTATGTTGCACCACACCTAACACCTCAATGCACAACTATATGGCCTACAATGCATCCCCTCCTAAAATCGCAAATTCATCAACAAAACTAATCAAAAGCATACTCCAACGAATCGCAAAAAAAAAAAAGATAAAATAAAATAAAATAAAATAAAAACAAAGAGAATAAACATGAAGCCATGATGAGTAGTCACCACTAGCACTAGGAAAAAAATCCAAATAAGAATGAAGGGATGGATCGAAGAAAATCCCTAAAATAATGGTTATAATAACCTAAAATCACAAAGAATATTTTATAAGCAAAATTGTCTAGAAAGTAACAATGTGAAAAACTACCAAACTCCCCCTATCGAAGCGCCCAGATTAGAGCACAGTACAACTTCTCATCTGGAGAGTGATTCTCATATGAACCGAATCACACACACACACACACACACACACACACAATATATATATATATATATATATATATATATATATATATATATATATATATATATATATATATATATATATATATATATATATGTAATTCGGTTCATATGGTAAATAGGTGTTAGTATATGGTAACTTCATCTTTTAGATATATGTTGTCACATTTTCTCATTTACAATAATGTATTTGTTAAAATAGATTTGATTGGCTTTATTGTGTCTATGCAATCATCCTACACTACATTATTAGTTAATGGCCGAGAAAAAAGATTCATGGAGATTGTTATTCAAGATCGCGAATAAGTCATGTTTAAATACTACTTTTTCATATTATAGTTCTATTACTTTTCTATCTTATTACTTTCAAAACAACTACGTTTTATTGTATTCTATATAGAAATAAATCTTTAAGGTGCACTTTTTGGGACCAATGTGTTGATTTATTGCTCCCACTTGTGAACCCCTAGACCCTGAATCTGTTGTGCTGATAATTCATATGTGCCGTCCAAAGATGTATAACGGTAAATATCTAATTTCATCTTGACTTGTGATGCTTTGTAAATATCACATGATTTTTTATTTAAGAATTAAAACAACATCGTATGAAGTTAACATTTGTTATCTTAATGATTAGGTGAGGTTTCAGTCACTAATACATTTGGTGCTACTAAGTTTGTGATGGATAATAACTGTCAACAAATTCGTGATTTCAAATTATTGTACGTATTTTTTGAATTTCAAACATTAAATATTACTAAATTTGAATATTTAATAATATTAATAGTTTTTTAAGTAATTTTTAAAATCTTAAATTTTATTATAAGGTTGGATGTGAATCCTACACCAAAGGTTTCACTTAGTACATCAACAATATCATCATCAATAATAGCATATGAGATCAATAGTGAGACACTTAATATCTGCAACATTAATCAATTGTATGATGCTCATGAGGTGTGTAATACTAGATTAATAGAATTGTCAACAAACATGTAATTTTTAATCACCGGTATTCCTTCTCACATTAATGTAGCTATTTGATTATTTGAAATTGTAAACATATAGGTCAGTAACTTTTCATTATAGAATAAAATTATATTTCTAAACTTAGTCTAATATTGTTTCCTAGTTCCTAGTTTTGTGTAGTGGTTCCTATAATCACTCTATGCCTAGCTATTTCCTACTTTTGTGATATAATTGTGTATATATACATGTTTTCTATTAATGAAATATATAAGCTGTTTATATCTCATAACATGGTATCAAGAGCTTGATCCTATTGGATAATATATTTTTTTCCTCTTTTTCATGGCTTTGGAAAACACTTCTTCCCCTTCAACTACAGATGATCCTCCTATTATAACTTCCACCTCACAAGATCCTCAAAATCCCCTTCCTATAATTAATTTCTCAATTCTCAAATATAACCAATTAACAGACACAAACTACCTCACTTGGAGTCTTCAGATCGCATCCCTTTCTTGAAGGATATGATCTTCATCACCACCTTGATGACACTCATATTTCCCCAGCAGCCACCATTACCACTAACGGTGTTACATCACCAAATCCTTATTATACAAAATGGAAATGTCAAGATCGTCTCATTTTTAGTGCTCTTATTGGTGATATATCCACTTCTTTACAACCACTTATTGCTCATGCCACCACCTCTCTCACAGCATTGCAACTTCTTGCTAGTACCTTTGCAAAGCCCTCTCATGCAATGGTCACATAAGACAATTAAAGGAGCAATTGAAATGGCTAACGAAGGGCACGAAATCTATTAGTGCATACATGCAGGCTATTAAAACCCAAAGTAATGAACTTGCTTTGCTAGGTAAACCCATTGATGATGAAGATTTCATTGATCATGTTCTTGATAAACTTGGTACTGAGTACAAATCTGTAGTTGATGTCATTAATGCCTGTGATATTACAATTTCCTTTGCTAAGCTTTAGGAAAAACTCTTAAAAAAAGAAGTGTTTCTTCAAATTGTTGAATCTAGTTTGCAGATACTTCCAGCAACAATGAATCCAACCGCCTACCGGAACACCAATAATTCCAGCCGTTCAAATCGGCGTCCGTCCAGCAACAATTCCTCCCAACAAAATTCTGCCACTACCTTTTCTCCTCATAACCAGCGTCAACCCAAACCTTATTTGGGTCGTTGCCAAGCATGTGGCACTCAAGGACACACTGGCACACTACTAAGCGATGTCTAATGTATCGACTTGTCACTAATCAGCATTCTCAATTTCCTCGTCCTCAAGGGACCCAGGGATATCAGTCTTCAACACCTTGGCAACCATGAGCAAATTATGCAACACTTATCCATGACACAAATCCTACGTGGCTTATGGAAAGTAAAACATCTCACCATGTTACGTCTAATTTGAGTAATCTCTCACTACATAGCCCGTATCTAGGATCTGATGATATCATGATAGGAGATGGATCATCCCTCTCTATAACGCATACTGGTTCCACTTCAATATCCACTCCTTATTGTTTATTTTCTTTACAAAATATCCTTTGTGTTCCCTCCATGAAAAAAAAAATGATTTCAATTTATCAATTATGTACCAATAATGATGCTTCTGTTGAATTTTCTCCCTCTACTTTTTATGTGAAGGATCTAAACACGGGAGCAACTCTATTGACGGGTAAGCCTAATGATGGTGTATATGAGTGGCCAACTTCACCATTCTCTAG